ACAGCCACCACGAAGCCTCTCAGACGTCACTGCAGTGGCCATAATGGACACTTTTTTTCGCCGTCACTTTAAGAGGAAGGATGCCGCTCTGCAGGAGGACGCGTCCAAATCCTGCCGCCAGCGGAGGCCCAGCGTTGCCGTGCCCACCAGCAAAGCCCGCCGAAGGTCCACAGTCGGGATGCCTTCCTCCGCTCTGGCCCAGCGGCGTCGCTCCAGCGTCCAGCCGCCGTCAGGGTCGCTGTGTGCTGGTGGGGGGCGTCTGGCAAAGACAGACTCCGGCAGCAGGTGGGCCGGGCACGCTCGCAGGCGCTCAAGCACTACCACGCCCAACCTCAACCCGAGGTTTGCCGTTCGCCGGAGAAAGGTGGGGAAGCTGCGGACGATCGACACCCACCTGCTGGGGCCGTCCATGCTGCTCGCCAGCCTGATCCAGATGGCTGAGGAAGACGAGGAGGAAGAGGGTGTGGGGGCGGGACCGCTGGCTGAAGAACAGCAGGTGGAGGTGATCAGCGGCGTCAACAACAGGAGGAGATTTTCACGAGCCAGCAGCCTCCTCTCAGATGGCGACGACAACAGCAGCCGTTTCTCCACCACTGACGACAGCCAATCAGAAACCAGCCAGCTGTCAGAGGCGGAGCAGTTGGCTGAGGAGGAGGAGAACACCTGCTCCCCTGATCCCCACTTCTCCCGAGCCTCTAGCCCGTCCGTGTCCTCCACCGCCACACTGGAGTTGATGAAAAAGACTCCCCCGCTGCCGTCGCCGTCCCGCCCGCTGATCCGGGCGCCGCGCTGCCTCCGGAGGAATTCCTCTCAGGTGTTTACGGTAGACTCCATCCCCTACGGCTGCTGCCGCACCTCCAGCCAAAGGAAGAGGAGAAGGATCTCCACCATCTCCAAAGCTGGGAGCCCCTGGCCTGGGAGAGGCCCGCCGTTGCCCAGCCGCAAGACCTCGGTGTACTACCTCAACCACCCGGGCTTCTACCGGGGCGCCGGCGCACTGAGCCCGCTGGGGCCTCGGGGCCATGACTCCTGCCTGGAGAGCTGGAGCGCCTTCCTGCTGTACGTAACCCGGCTCAGCAGAGCGAGAAGCTTCCTGTCTGACGGGGCCGTGGA